CAAAATAATCACTTCTCTCCAGTGAAGGCTTAGCGGGCGCGGGGGGGGGGGGGCAGGCAGGGGGGAAATGGGCCAGATAGAAAAAGAAATACTTGGTGGAGGGGCAATGCAGCAGGATCAAAAAAATTTTAATAATTTAAGTAAAACAATAAAACAAACACAATACCTTAGTGTGGCAAATAGGCTAGCGAAGGAGAGACCATCTGATCACCCAGAAGCACCCTGAGCTGGGGTCCTGGGCTGTGTCATCCCGCCAGCGAGTAAACTTCATGTGTGCGTAGGGGTGTGCCTCTGTATAGACCCATGGAGATTTAACAGGGAAAGAGCCTGGCCCATTTTTAATTTGGGTCTGTTTGCTTGCATTTAGCACTTAAGGGCTCTACATTCAGTCTGGTCAAAAGAGTGATGAAGCACTCCTTGCTTATGCCTCAAATCAGAAATGCATGAAGTGCAGCTGCAGAGATAATACATTTTCCCCAAAGGCTTTGGCTGAGCAAATTAGGTGTCAATGGGGTGCCTGTGCAGGCAGTACTCTCTCTAATTAGTCTCTTGAGCCTAGTTGGTGGCGGGTATGAGATGATCTAATCAATTGGTCTGTGTCTGATGGTTCCTGTAAAAATCCTACCAGGCAGACTCTCTCCCACAGGTCACCCACCTGCACAGCGGGACTGCTCATTTTCATTTTTCATCTCCTCCATCACATGATGCTGACAGTTGGTTTTAAGAAAATTGAATCCAAAAAATATCTAGTTCATAGGGCACATGGGTCAGAACAAAATTGCATTATGGGTACCAGCGATCCAATTAATTAATATTTATAGCTGAGAAGCTCTATGTAGATATTTCTGAATAAGGATTTTATCAATAAAATCCAATTTCTTGTTTAAAACATTCATTTCTAGAGAAAGAACACTAAAAGCAGAAAGCAAGATAAAAATGGCATCCATTAATCTAATGATTTATATACCTATGAATTGTTGTGCACATAGCTGAGCTTATAATTTATATTCATTGTTCATTTGTATTATGTGTGCAGTCTATTTTAATAATCTATTAAATGTAAGGGAAGGATTTGCATTACTATTATATTTTACTTCCCTATGAATGTCATATACTCTCCTTTCACCTATATCGCCACCCATCACATGTATGATTACATTTAGGTTTTAAAGAATTTTTCTAGCAGTAAACTCACCTACCTTGAAAACTGGAACTGATACCAATGTTGCCCAAGGAGGGAGAAGGACATCGCATGTGCTGGTGAACAATGTCAGTCAGGGCACTTGGCACAGTTTGAGCTATAGAGTCATCTCACAGAGATGGGGGTCTAGCTCTCACTGGCACCTCCCTTCCTTTTATTTTATTTTAATTATTGGATACTTTCATTAAATGTCTGACCCCGAACCTAACTAAATGGACTTAGCCATAATCACTGTTCACCATTTATCATCCAGTTACTATTACTAATGGATAATTATCCGATTAGGTACATGTGATTCTTCTGGAAATTACACTTAAAGAATCAGGACAAAGACAAGGACAAACACCATCAATGGCTAAAAAAAAAAAAAGTATAATACCAACCCAACAGAATAATAACTTGCCATGGACTATGGTGACGGTATAGTTTATTGTTACATGAAATCAGATATACTGAAAAGCAAAGCATTCTTTTTTTAAATATGTTTTTATTTATTTCATAGAAAGGAAAAGAGAAGAAGAAGAGAGATAGAAACATCAATGATGAGAGAGAATTATTGATCAGCTGCCTCCTGCACGCCCCCTACTGGGGATTAAGCCCACAACCAAAGACATGTGCCATGACTGGGAATCGAACCCATGACCTCTGGTTCATGGGTCAGTGCTCAACCACTGAGCGATACCATCCAGAACCTTTGTTTTTGATAGATCCCTCTCCCTCTGTATAAGTGACTGACCTCTCCTTGTCACATGTCCACATCCTATTCCATCTCTAAGGCCCAAATCAAGTCTCACTCATATTATGAAACTTTTCTGGCTTCTAACAAGACTCTCTCCTTGCAAAGTGTGGGATGGGGGCTATGGCAGTAGTTTCCATGCAATTATTTCTGCTAAGGTGGCAACTTTTTTAAGGGATTTGATAAAGGCATTTCTGGACAACCTGGCAGAGGTGAGAGGTGGCCAAGTGAGCCACATAGAGAACTATCCCACAGCAGCAACTATTTGAGACAACTAAGGTAGCAAAAGGCCTATATGTGTTGTCCATCTACCCCCAGGCCTCTCCCTCCACCCCACATCTCTCCCAGAAACTTAAGGTAAGGACTTTTGTTTACATTTGACTCAGTCACTGAGGACAGAGAACTCTTATGAATGGAATGTTACCCCCTTCTTCACACCATTTACCAAAATGAACTAAAAATTGATTAAAGTTCTAAATGTAAGGACTAAATTCTTAGAAGAAAGCATAGCGGTAAATCTTTATCATCTTAGACTTGGCAATGGATTTTTTGATCTGACACCAAAACCATAAGCAACAAAATGAAAAATGGATAAATAGGACTTCATCCAAATTAAAATTTCTTGTGCATCAAAGAACACTGTCAACATAGTGAAAGGCAATCCACTAAAAGGCAGTAAATATTTGCAAATCAAAATACAAATATTTAAAGAACTCCTACAACTTAATGACAAAAAGACAAACAATTTGAAAAAGAACCAAGAACTTGAATTAGATATTTCTCCAAAGATAGACAAATGACCAACAAGCATATGAAAAGGCACTCAACACCATTAATAATTAGAGGAAATACAAATCAAAACTGTGGTGAGATACCAGTTCCCACTCCCTATAATCAAGAGGGGGGGAAAAAGAAAGTAATAAATGTTGGCAAGGGTGTGGAGAAATTGGAGAATTTGTATATTGCCAATGGGAATATAGAAAGGTACAGCCACTGTGGAAAACAGTTTGCCAGTTTCTCAAAAAGTTAACTACAGGATTGCCTTATGGCCCAGCAATTTCATTCCTAAGTGTTTACCCAAAAGAATTAAACAAATACTTGCATATGAATATTCATAGCAGCACTGTTTACAGTAGCCAAATTTTGAAAACAGCTCAAATGTGCACTAGTTCATGGATGGGTAAACAAAATGTGGCATATCCATAAAATGGAATACTATTCACCATAAAAAAGAAGGAAGTACTGATACATGCTACACTATAGATGAATTTTAAAAACATTATGTTAAGTGGAAGAAGCCAGACACAATAGGCTGCATGTTGTATGAATCTGTTTCTATGAAATACCCAGAATAGGGAAATACATAGAACAGAAAGCAGATTAGTGGTTGTCAGGAGCTGGGGCAAGGGAGAAACGGTGTGCCTGTTTAAAGGGTATGGGGTCTCTTTGGGGGGTGACAAATGTTTTGGAACAGATAGAGGTGGTGCTGCAAACATTGTAAATGTACTACATGCTTTCATATGGCTAATTTTGTTACATGCATTTCAGCTCAATAAAAAAAAAAAAAGGATGGAAGGTTAAGCGTCCAAAAAATCATCATAGTAAGTGGGAGAAATGAGCAGAGGTGGAGAGGATGCCACCCTCAACTATAAGACTGGAACTTTTTGTTCTCTTGGTCAAGGCAGTGCCTTGCAGGGGTGAGGTCCTTGGTACTACAGCCCACATGGGCAGCAGGGGGGCAGCTGCACTGTGAGTTCTCTGCAAAAGGCCAAGGTTTCCTCTTTGCCCAGGAAGATGACAGTGTGGCATTGGAGAAGGGCACAAGGAGGCCTGACCAGGCCTCGTGACTCACGCTTCTGACGAAGATGATGAGTTGACTCTGGGACTCAGTGAACTAATCAAATCTCTGGGCTTTGTGACTTGAACCTTGGAGTGTTTCCTTTACCCTTCCTGGCAAGACTTTTTTTCCCGTCCTAGAGACTCGGTGAGAAAGCTTAAGGATCAAAAAGAAATGTGGGCAGAGCAGGGTAAACCATCCTTCTCTCTTCTCGAACCGTTCACATGGAAGTAGTTATGGAGTTTAAGCAGCACCATTGCAAATGCACAGTCATGTGCAGGAAGTTAGCAAGAGGCTGGCTAACTTCAGGTTGTGTCAGTTTTCATTCTACGGAAACTAGGGCTAATACTAGACAATGGAGGAATTATAGGCAGCTGGATTTTTTTTTAAAGCATCTATATCCAATTTTCTGCTTCTTATTCATAAAAATGAACAGGATGCAATGTCCTTTTAATGGTCTGTATGATGCTACTGGCACTTAATGAATACCAGTATTACCACTAATGATTAGGGGAAGGAAATTTGCTGAATTCTCTATATTAATCCAAAAGGAGGTTAGATTTTTTTTTTAATTTTATCCTCACCTGAAGACATACTTAGAGGACGGTGTGTGTGTGTGTGTGTGTGTGTGTGTGTGTGTGTGTGTAGAGAGAGAGAGATAAAGAAAGAAGGAAGAGAAGATGGAAAGAGGGAGGGAGGGAAAGAGGGAAGGAAGGAAGGAAGGAAGGAAGGAAGGAAGGAAGGAAGGAAGGAAGGAAGGAAGGAAGGAAGGAAGGAAGGAAAGAAGAGAGGGAGGGAGGGAGGGAGGGAGGGAGGAGGGAGGGAGGTTGGTTGGTTGCTTTTCATATGTGCTTACCAAGGATCAAACCCACAACCCAGGTATGTGCCCTGACCAGGAATTGAACCCACAACCTTGTGGTGCACAGGATGATGCTCAACCAACTGAGCCTCTCCGGCTGGGTGAGGTCAGGTCATTTAAATTCACAGAGTTAAATTCTTTGAAGGGAAGTAAAAGCAGTCAGAACATTTGTTTATCACATTATAAGAATTTTTTTGGGTGAAGGAGGCAACTTTGCCTCAGATACGTGGGCTTGGGGTAGCTGTGGAGAAAACGGATAGGCTCACCCTGGCCTGACCAATTTTGATGTCTCGTGTAATTGAAGAAAAATGAATGATATATGACTTTTTTTTTACCATATAACAATTTTCTCTTTTCCTCCTTTCAGGACTAAGTTGTCATCATTCTGGGAAGAAAAAAAACCATTAATGAAGTGGCCAATCAGAGGAAGGGAATCATGGATCAGTTTCCTTTCACTCCCTGTGGTGGATTTCACTTACAAGAAAATTGAAGCTGGCAAGACCCTGCTTTCTCTGCAATTTATTTAAAACCTTGCACGCATTTGGATACCTTGTGATTCCCAAGAACTATGTGAAGATTAAGCTTCGCTTACTGATCCATGGCATGTATTCTTTTCAGTCTTTTGTGTTTGATTTTGTTTGATTTCCCTCAGCAGCGCAGCGTCTCTGTGAAGGTTTTTATGCTTTTACCAACCATGTCTTAAATACATTAAGACAACACATCTGGTGTTCACACTTCTTCAGTAATATCTGTACTTGAAAGCCACACAGTGGCATGAAACAATGTGCGCTTTCCTGGAGACCACTGCACATTTTGCAACCACCAGGAAGGTCATGTTCAGCTAAAGCAAACCCATGTTCTCTGACTGTTTGGCAACTTGGTCCCTGGCTGTGGGGCCCCCCTTGTCACCTACCTTTTGAGGACATTTCCCAGTTTGGGGTTTTTTTCTTGGAAACACCACACATTTATATAAGATATCAGAACCTGCTTAGCGTTTTCAAGCCACATAGCATGACTGTTTTCCACATAGGTTGGAAGTGAAGAACCAAGTATCAAGCATTAAGAACAAAGGACAGGGATACATTGCTTCCTTTTCAACCTCTGGAGCTGGAGGTGACTTTTTACATGTGTCCTGGGTCTCATCAACATCTTATTGTTTCCATCCACTCTTTGACACGTGGTGTTTTCTTAGTGGAGAAAAGAGTGAGGAACAGAGCGTTCAAAACTTGGGTGAACGGAATCGAATCCGCTGCATGAGCCCTGAAAGCCATCTTTGCTAGTTAACACTTAATAAGCAAGCGACAAAGGGATCCAGAGTTAAAAATTGGCTCATTTACATCAGAGCACCTGTAAATTACATTTTGAAAACATTCCAAGCTGACTGGAAGCCATCCTTGGAGACCCTGACTTTACACTGTCTCCTGGGGAAAAAACTTTGAATGAAGGTTTTAGAAGCAACACGGGACTCATGCTTTAAGGATGGGAAAGGGGAACAGAAAGGCCTGGCTCCCCCTGTTGAAGGCGAGGATGTGACATGGAGGGAAAAGTGGGTTGGGCGTTTGTGGAGCTTTGATCTGGAGGGGAAGCTCTCTGATGGAGGCCGTCTCCCAGGGGGACAGGCCTCACTGCAGAATCCCAGATAATCCTCAGGCCAAGGGGGTGGTTAGGAAATTCATCGAAAGCATGAAACCTAGCTCCTCAGGACACAGATTCCTATGGAAATACTTCTTGTACATTGTGTTACATTTTCCTATTAGTCAGAAAGAAGGAGAGACCAGGAACTTGAAATGCATCGCACTTTGGGGGACCAAGTCTAGGAATTGTGAGCCAGTTTGACAAAGACTTTCTCTGAGAGTCAGGTAAGAGAAAGCTTTTCTATAGTCACACGCAGTATACCTAGGGAATGGGACCCAGACTCCCTAAACATTAAAATGGTACCGTCCCTGGAGTGACATGTGAGTATATAATACAGTCAAGGTCACAATCCATCGTATCTAGAAGTAGCATTCACTGTGAGCTTCTACGTGTTAAGTGAGGAATTATGTACTGGTTGGTGTTAAAGAGAATAAAAGTTACCCGAGGCTAGAGTATTTGCTATTTGCTACCTAGAAATCTTTCCACTCTTCTTTCATGCATTCCAACTCATTCGTAGTCTTTACAGGTATTTTGATTTGTGTATTTAAATTAGGACTTCTTACAGAAAATATGGAGAAGAAAACTTACGTGCAATTAAAAAACAGCCTTGCCTGTGATTTGTCTTGAATTATTCATTTGGGGGAGAGGCTTAACTTTTGTATTTTACTAAGTTAAAACCAAGAGCAACTGATGATTAAATCTTACTATGTACTAAGCTTTCTAACTTGAAAATTTGAAAATATTTAGTGTTAAAATTCTTCAATTAGGCATATTAGAGATATTGCCCCTGTCCCAGGCACCTTCTACTGGGGAAAGGAAACACGCTCGTACTCAGCAGGGGTAAATCTGTTTTATTGCGGGAGACAGACCTCTCAGAAGATCTTGTTTAGGAACTTTTAGTTCCCCCTCCTTGCCATCAGTACAGAACATCCAAAGTTTGGTTTGTCTCTCCCTCCTTTCCTCTCGCATTTGCAATCATGTTCTCCCCCCTCACCCCCACCCTTCTATTCCCACTGTCTCTAGCTAAGGGCAGCCACGAAAATCATTGCAGAATGCGTTCATTAGCAGATTTATTATTCCATTGAGAAAGCACTGGAATGTTTTGTGAGATTATTTTTATAGGAAGGAGTAGCTTGAATTCAAACAGCTGGACCAGCATGGGGACTGTATACACACAGTATTCCAAAAGGAAACGCGGGACTTCGTGTCCATGTTCTTAAAGGAGCAGTATGGTTGACTTAACAATACAAGTTATGTAGAACATGAAAAAAATAAAGATGTTTGCAGTGCTCAGAAACAATGGGGTATAAAGCAGGGTGGCTGTCCACCCACTGAAACAAGTGAGAAGCTATTTCTACCTCGAAAGAGTGATGAGAAAAGTTCCAGGGGCGCCTCCTCCAGGCTTGCAGAGAAAGCAAGGCCTCTGGGCATCCTTCCCTCAGCGTGTCCATGACAACCAGTGTCATCAATGCCCTCGGTCATGTGTCTCTATAAGATACTCATCTGTGAATAATACTGGTTTTGTAATCTTTGTTATATAAGAGGAAGTTTAGGCTGTACATACTGGGGTAGATTATTGCCTGCCCCCTATACATAGGAATATGCTGCATAATTGTGCATAACTTCTATCCCCCTTACTGGCTTGTAGGCAGAAGAAACCACAAATGTTACTGCCTTGCAATCCTCATACACCAAAACCAAACAACAACAAAAAAGCAAAAAAAAAAAAAAAAAAATCTCAAACAAAATCAGCAATCTCCTATTCTCATTCCCTTCCCACAGCAGCATATTTTAGAGGCACAAATAAAGTCTACATTCTCTAGTTGGGAGTGGATTTTTTTTATCTTTTTTTTTCTGTAAGATACACTGAGATGCGTACTTTCTAACGGGTGGTTGGTACCTAAGAAATGTGCTAGCATCATTCAGAAAACTATTATACTTCAAAATAACATATAGTAAGGAGAATGGAGTAAAACACGTTGCATATTTGTTACCAATTGTAATTTGTCTGTATTATGAAAGATGTAATGGTTTGTCAGCTGTCACTGTTGTTTTCTTGTAACATGATACAGAATAAAAGAATCTCTGTACATTTTCTTGGTGAGTACCCAAAACACCATACACTATGTCAAAGAAACATCCTCTGGGAAACTCTTAGGCACAACCATTCCCAAAGAGAGAAATGAGAGACAGAACACACAGTGCTCTTGGATGTGGGAAGGAGTGAGTCAGCTGGGATGTTCCAGGAGTCTGCTAACCCCTCCCTCACCTTGCTTTGTGAGGCCATATGTAGGTGAAGTGGAGGAGGCTGTGCAAAACCAAGCTTGTGTAGTCGAGGGTCTTCACAACCCTCCAGCTCCTTATGACGTTCACCACGTGTTCTGTGCATCTGGAGCCAATCTGGCCTTGTTCAATGACAACCCTGTTTATTTTTATTACTTCTTTTTCCTGGTTTTTGCACGTGTCCTAAGATGAGGTGAGTAGGTTACTCTCCACTGAAGACAAATCCCAGCTTCTGCCACTGAGCACACTTCCCTGACCACCACCTCGTGGGGGCTGCACCTGAATGGGCAGGGAGCTCGCACTGGGATGCACATGTTGCCTTGGGGGGCTGGTGTCCTTTCTATCACCACCTCCTTGTCAGATCTGCCAGCTTTATAACCCCAAAAGAATCCCCCCCCCCGAACTGATAAATTGCTAATAAAGTTCATATGAGATACAGTCATCGATGTATAGCTATGATGTTCCATAATTTAAAAATGTTTGCCCTTGAAGGTAAAAAATCCCAGTTCAAGTCTCATGTTAAAAGGGCCCAGGCCCCTGGCTGTCCCCCTGGGCAGATCCTCACCTACCAGCAGCTACTACCCCCCGGTCTTCCCCTTGCTGCTCTCCTAGAACTTCCGTGGCTTCTTCGTTTCCCTTTGCAAACTAACATTCTCACAAACACCAGTGTTCTCAGCTGACACATGTTCCAAACCAGAAACGCTCGCAAGAGCCCGTGCATCTTCAGCCCCCTGACTGAAGCGACTCATCATGCCTAAGGCATTTTCACAGTCGCAGCCCTGTGGACTCTGGGACATGAAATGGGGCACTTCATGTTACCAAGGTAGAGATAATGGGCAAATTTCTTCGTTAAATGGGAACCACATACCCTGGAAACTGATTAGAATTATAGAAGCTTTGAAAGAATAACTCGCTCCTCGGGGTCGTTTCAAGGGAGCAACGTGTGTGCCATTGCCCACCTTCCAACAGCCATGGGAGCACAGCTGCCCCTTGCTGAGGTCACTGGCAGCCTCAGCAGTGAGCTCACATTTTAGAGCCTGACTGTGTGCCTGGGTTGTAATCCCATGAGCTCTTAAAAGAAAGACGAAGGTGGCAGGCTGGAATCTACAAGAGGGCAAAGAAATAGCTCTGGGAAGTACTTTTCTTGATTTCAGAGGGGACGGGAGAGAGAGAGAACATCGATGATGAGAGAGAATCATTGATCAGCTGCCTCCTGCACGCCCCACACTGGGGATCTAGCCTGCATCCTAGGCATGTGCCCTTGACCGGGAATTGAACCATGACCTCCTGGTTCATAGGGTGACGTTCAACCACTGAGCCACGCCAGCCGGGCTGTTTTTAAATGTGGCAGCAGAAATGACAGTCCTCCCTGAGCTCCCTCATGGCCCATGCTTTCATTTTCTCCAGCTAGGGCTAGCCAGCTCTGCCAGGTGTGGGGTGGGATGTGTGCTCGCCAAGGCAAGCAGTTAGAGTTGGGGGTTAGGCATTCCTAGACTTGCTCCTGGCCCCCCCCCCCAGAGTAAAGAGAAACCGGAGGGGAAGGTGTTAGAGCAACCCGAGCCTCTAGGCTAGCACGCACAGTGGCTGCGTGATGGCAGGCACTGTAAATCGCTGCAATGAGAACCCCACGGTGGCCCAGCAGCCTGCTGCTACCAGTGGGTGGTGGCGTTATGGGCATTAGCTTTGAGAAGCTTATACAGCAGAGGGGGCTAGGATAAAGGACACAAATCAGGGGAAAACTGACAAGATTTAAAAATCCAAGGCCTCGTATTTACTGTTGGTCCCCCCCCACGCTCTGGCTGTGCTATATTGTCTGCGTTGAGTCCTGCTGAGAGAGAGCCAGGCACAATAATAGCTGGGAGCGGCCTCGCAGCCCCGAGCCAGCCTCTGCCAATGGTGCTGACTGTGCTGGTGGAGAATGGGATTCTAATAGAGTTATCTTTTTTCTCCTTCCCTGCAAGACTACCAATAATTATGGAGGGCACGCGGTACAGGTGGGGTAAGGGTTCCTTCCCTGTTGGAGTTTATCCTGAGAAGTGACCCAGTGTGGGTCCCAGTGGAGGCCCCTGCCCAGGTGCCTGACAGATGTAGACAATGCTGGGGGCGTGCAGGGACACGTGTTAGAACCAGCGGTTCAAGGATTTAGAGAGGTTGCTTGGGGCGATGGGTACACAAAGCAGTGTGCAGATGATGTTTTATTGAGTTGTACACTTGAAACCTGCATGGTTTTGAGAACAAACATCACACCAATAAATTCAATTTAAAATAAGATAAAATTGAGGAAGAAGAATAACTTTTGCATTAAAAAACCACTTAGCTTTATGTATCATAATACAGTGTGAAACAATCAATGATTCTTTTCCCTCTCTCCATCTCCAACCAAATCAAGTAATTGGGTCCCTTGCATCCTCAAAGAAAGGCTATCATCCACTCAGATCCTTGGGGGAAGCAGGGACAGGGCCTGCAACCTTCCTCTGCCTAATATTTGGAGAGTTCAGGCCCCAGTGAATCCACACCTTCAGCCCCGTGGCTCAAAGCCCTGGCTCTTATTATAACCACAGGGAAGTTTTAAAAACACCCCCACCCCAGACCGATTCA